GCCGTCCCAGCTCGCTCGGCCTTCCCTCTCGGGAGCCCCCTCGCCACCCCAGTGCCCCTCTGCTGGGCTCTCTCCAGTACGCCCAAGTCTCTCCTGTCCCCAGAACGGGACAAGGCACCCCAGAGCAGCCTCTCCGGTGCTGAGCAGAGCGGAAGCACCACCTCGCAGCACACCCAGCGCAGCCCAGGACACCATTCGCAGCCCGCGCCGCAGCGGCACGTCGGTCGCTGGCTTGTGGTGTCCACCAGCACCCTCAGGGCCTTCTCGGCCGGGTTGCTTTCCAGCTGGGTGGCCCCCAGCCTGTGCTGGTGCCCGGGGCTGTTCCTCCCCAGGCGCGGGACTTTGCAGTTCCCTGTGTTGAACTGGGTGAGGTCCCTGTCAGCCCCTTTCTCTAGCCTGGCTCTGGACGGCAGCACAACCCTCCGGCACGTCAGCCGCTCCTTATGCAGTGTCTTCACTGAGGGACAAAAGCCGAGCGGTACCTAGCATCCCCGGGTGGGACATGTCCTTGTGCATCCCCGGGTGGGACATGTCCTTGCTGTCTGGCCCAGAGGTGAGCTGCAGGCTGTGGTTGGTACTTGCACAGCCCTGGCACATGCTGCAGCTCTTCCCAGAACCTCCCTGCGGCCTCAGCTCGTGTGGCTTTTGGTGCCACGGCCCCAGGTCGCAGCATCACATCCTGTTGAGAGAGACCAAGGTTATGGGAGGCAGGTCTCCTCATCAGCATTCCCATGCTGGATTTTGCGAGGCACTATATCTAGTCCAGCTGTGCCTTCCAGAGGTCGCGTATAGAAAGAGGCTGGTGCAGTATGCCATCCTGTCCCTGGGCTCCACAGCTCAGTGCCCGCTGCCCGCAATGGCCAGGGGCTGGTGAAGGCAATGCTCCTGTAGCTGCCAAGGGCCAGCAGAGAGAGATCTGAGCATCTGAAGTGAGAGGTGGACTCAACAGATGCCGCTTACCTGGGGACAGCACGCGGCTGGATGGCAGCAGGGGCCGCAGCAAGCAGTGACAGTCACTCGTGCAACAGCTCCATGAAACTTTGCTGCAGGTGCCCAGGGTGATGGAAGCGCCCTCCTACCTCCACCCGCTGAAGGAAGAAATCCATCCCGTGGAGTAACGTGACCGGACAGGAAAGCTCGTGATGTGACCCTGAGTTGCACAGCAATTTGAGGTTTCCCTGTTGACTTCAGCAGTGGTACTTGTGTTTATGTTTAACGAGACCTGGGTGAAGAGACACGTGCCCTGGAAACCACGCCATTCTGAGGCTGTCCAACCCGTGTCAGCCCTGAGGCACGACGGTGTCAAGGCTGACCATTCAGCACTCCTCCTTCAGCAAGCCCTGGGCAGGCAGAGGAGGTCTGTCCAGGCCAGAATAGGAGATGTATTTAAAAATATGTCTTAATAATAATAAAACTTTAAAAAAGTGTTTTTTAAAAACTAGAGCAGGCCAGGAGTGTCATGCTGTGTCAGATGGACTAGCTGGTGGGGATGAGCCCCAGACTTCCTAGGCAGGTCTGTTTAGCCTGGTAGGAGCTTACGAGAGCAGCTTAAAGCTGGGTTTAAGAGAACTTTAAGCAAACTTGTGCCTGGTCTGGTTAGGAGCCCATTTTGAGCAGCATGAAAGACAACAAAAAAAGCCAGAGATATCCGTCCCTCTCATCCCTCAGCTCATACCAGCCTTCCTCCTGGGCGCAGGGATGCAGCTGTACGCATCGTGCCTCCCTGAGATGCCAGATGTTTGCACCAGTCCCCACCGCATGCTGTAATTAAACCTGGCCGAGCTCCAGTGATCAAGGCGAGGTTCCACGTCGCTGTGTTTCAAAATATAAATCACCCTGAGCATGCACATCGCAGCAGCACAACGTGTCCTCCCCGCTGCGCAGGGCTGTGCAAGATGGGGGCCACTAAACCACCGCCGAAGCCCTGCCACATCAGCACACTTCCAGCACTCCCGCACGTTGCCCCGGCTGCTCCATCAGTACCCGGACACACAGGGGGGTGTGAGCAGCCCCTCGGCTTCTGGGCCATCAGGAGCTGATCAGCACATCCCACCCTTGGCAGAGGCTGTGATGGGAAGGGCTGTGCAGGGGACGCACTGCAGCACCCGCGTCCCCGGGCACCGCACCCGTGTGCTCGCACTGCCCTTCGCGCGAAGGCTGCACGAGCAACCCGTCTGCACCCGTGCACATCGCATGGACTCTCACAAAAACCAGCAGAGTCATGAAAAGCAGCACCTCCAGAAATGAACTTCCAGCTGAAAACACAACGTAAGCGATCTGCAGACAGAAACTGTGATTTAACAGGCTAGGTCGGAAGGACAGAAAAACTTCCACGCAGACCTGGCTGTAGCACCTTGGGCTCACGCCTTCCCACCTGCCCCGGCTCCCCTGCCTCCGGGCTGACCCAGCCACGCTCAGAGCAGCCCTGCAAAGGACAGGGGCCAGGGATGAGCAGGGCTCGGGGTGGGGACCACGGTGCTACTCGCACCTGGGCAAATCAAGGAATCACAACCTTCTGTTCCAGTCTCCCAGACAGAAAACCCCACCAGGATTTTCTGGGGAAATCTCCAACCTGGGCAAAAACTGAGTCTCTGAGGACTGGTTGCCTTCAGTCTTTTTGGGTCTGGGAAAACCAGCCTGGCTGTCCTCCACAG